TCAATCAGCTTCTCAAGTCAGTATTCATCGTACATTGTACTTCACCCCATTTCAGGGCCTCTCATAGCTTCGTCTCGCAACCCTCTTTTCATCCCGGAATAGCGAGTGTTGACCTTTTGTAGGTTCGATACCCCCTATCCGAGAAGACGCTGCTTCTCTCTCACACCAAGGTTTATTAGACCACTCACTACCTCCGTACATGTATTTTATTACATGTTCTTGTTGATGACAAGTACTGGAGCTCCAGTGGCACAACAAGGCAGCTGGATGCGAACTACAACTACCTATTTACTGTGTACAAGGCCAACGACGCACGCTGCACTGCCATAGGTTGCAGCCTGGCAGGCAACCTTGGTAGGGATCACGAGTCAGGACGGCCACAGCTTCAACACTGAGCTTGTCTCGAAAGTCCATCGCTCTCGTGGCCGTTAGCAGCAGGTTTGATATCCGAGACAGGGGCCCGAGACACCATGCTCGCAACGAGGAGTCTTGGGCCCATTGCTTTCCTAGGATGGCAGGTCTTGCTGGCTGCAGTCCATGATCTCAAACCAATGCACGACATTCTGCCCCCCGTTGAAGATCCATCGATCCTGCGAGGCATTTCATGGCACATGCGAGCAATGCGTTTCATGATGATTTCGCGGGATTAGCAAGGACCCGCTCGTCTCGAAAACGACACTAACCAGTGTGCCAGTTTGACAGCGATAGTACTGATTGTAATTATCTCCCTTGGCAGCCGAATTACTCGCGCGCCATCAACCAGCTGCTTCTCCCCTCCCCCCCCAGGAGGCGTAAAGTCAATACTCGACGGGCGTGTGCAGAAAAGATTTCCAGCCGCGCAAAGGCGACGGGCGGAGATGGGGTCAGGCGAGCAAGCCGTCCTCGTTTGGTGCATAACGAAGACAGCCTCAAAGACAAACTCGCAGGGACCGATACTATAAGATGTCCGTACATGGAGTGCTGCTGACTGAACCATTCCGCTCGGAAAGGCGCGCCCAGACCTGGCTACATATTCGTCCGCAACGCTCGGGGTCTTACCAAGCCTCCGGCGCACTGGGAGGCGCGCTCTAGACCGCCGAGGACGGCCAAGTCAACCTTATTTTAATGTAACCGTCGTGTGAAGTCGGTCTTCTCACGTTTGACAAGGCTTGGGGGCGACGCGCGCTGGCCGGGGCGGGATCCCGTCCCTTGGACCTTTCTGTCCAGCTGGTCGTCAACGTGTAGGTCTAGTTTAGCGAGGGGCGGTGGCTGATGAACAAAGAGACCCAGACCAACCGCCATGCAGCCTCCTGCCCATGAACGGCTGCACAGTAAGGTTTTGGGCTTGGGAATAGGCTTCAAACGGCGTGTGCGCTGCGCAAGGGATTTCGCGGCATGGCATTTCCCATTGCCATACTGCCCCGCGGATCGCATGGTGGTGTCATGATCAGGACGGGAGGCCAGATCTCAGCTTTCAGCTTGTCTCGACCGCATTCTTCACAGCACGGGCCGACGGCATGTTCTTCCCAGAGTGTTGCAGCACGGCAGGGCGCAGCAAGACGAGATACTACGTAGGCATACGCATTGGGCAGCGATGACTTACGTAGGCAAATGCGCTCGCCGCCGAAATGCGCGCCGATCAGGGTCCTTTTTAGTTGAGCAGGGGTCTGGTATCCATAGGCGGTGCGTAGCAACAAGCAAGCGAACAAACAGAGAGAAATGAAGCGAACGAACGGGGGTAGTCTGGACTCTGGAACGCATTGGGGAGGAGGGCGCTACGCCAACAAGAGTAGCGTGTGCGGACGGTCAACTGGGCAGTGGGACTTCAAAGTTTCAATGCAGCGGGACGGCACATGCCATTGAAAGAAGGTCGATCCAAGATGACCGCGATCCCGCACGGGAAACATGGCAAGAAGAGCTCCGGATCAAGAGCTTGAGGGGTGAGCGGAAGATCGATGAGATTTGAGCATCCAGTCGCCCGTGGTCGATGATTGGATAGCAGGGCGAACGTATCTGGCGATGAAGATGCACAAGACGGAAGGCCACTGTGCCGGGCAGGGAGCGTTCGTACGTAGTAGGGGTCCTGGGCGAGAGAACCTGGTGATGCACGCCGCCAATCGAAGATTTGGTGGGGGATCAAGTGGTGGCGAGGGTTCGGCCGGGACATCGTGATGGGTGGAGGTCCTGAAGAGCCTGATTATTCCCATAATCCCATCACGCAAGGATGGATTTGTGACAGGAACGCGTCTGGTGACCCGTACATCGTTGATGCTCGAGTGATGGATTAGTGACATTGTGTGACTGTCCGCTGGTCCGTCCTCCAGTGAATTTGTGTTCAACTCTGTCACTGCCTCTGGCCGTTAACGCCGCGCCCGAGGGCGTGTCTGCCGGCTGAGCCTCCAGCTGGCTGCCTAGCTGCCTGCATATGCCACCATAAATGTGCGTTATGTAGTTAGACGGACTGCCCGTGCCTCCGTGCCTTACAGGAGAAGTCCTACAGCACATGCAGCAATTAATCAATCATCCCTGGCTTGGCTTGGGTTACCGCGTCCGCTGCTGGTCGAATGCTGACCATTGACGAGTCGGGCAAGTGGCTGCCTGGCTGGCGGCCTGCAATTAATTAATCACTGCCTCTTCGCGCCTTGCTCTTCGCTCTCCTGCCTTCAACGGGCCATGTATTGATTCGTACCGTGCGCCTTGATGCCGTCCGTAATTATCACGTTCAACCGTGCAGCTGTCGCACGCCAATCATAATATCTGGGCAATTCCGTCCGAAACGTGCCCCAACGCGAAGACAAACGTACGGCCGCCCATCTCCGCACGCGATGATTGGACGTTTCGAACGGACATTCCTCCATAGATGGACACCTGGACGGGAGCCCTGAGGGGCCTCAAAAGCCCTTACGATCGGAAATTCGCAGGGTTATCAGTGCACAACGGAAGAGACGCTAGTCCTGATCGGTGATCCGTAACAGCGATGCCAGCGCCGCTCCAGTCCATGTCTTCAAATGAACCTAGGAACCAAGTAATATTTATGCACGTATCGAAGGTCTTGTCTGCTCCGCCATTGACTCACAGTACGGAGTATGCAGTGACCGGGCTGTCCGTCCCCGGTGCCTGGAATTCGAGACTTGGGCTGTGGGGAGCCGCGAGAAGGTTCTTTTAATTTTTCGCTGTGCCAGCTGCCACGGCAGGCCGAGGGTCCAGTCGTGCATGAAAAAAAATAAGGGGAGAAGCAATCAGAGTCGCTCCACTGGGCAAATTCAATCAGAAATCACCGGGGCTGCACGATATGGAGTGAGGCGTGTCGAGATGCGGCATTGGAGTGCATGTCAGGCACGGCCAGGGCGGGAATATACAAAGCAAACCATCCAACAAGGGAATAGACAATAATAAGCCGACCCCGTAAAGACAGGCTACCGTATAATCAGAATGTTTGGGCATCTATGAGACACCGACAACAAAGAGCGACACTGACACCCAAGAGCGACACTGACACCCAAGAGCGACACTGACACCCAAGAGCGACACTGACACCCAAGAGCGACACCGACGGCATAACGCCAAAGAGCGACACCGAGTCACGGACAACAAAGAGCAACACCAGCCTGGTACATTAGCAAAGCCTTGCGATGTGTCGTCGGTTTTCGCTGGTCACGGTACGTTCCGCTACGAGCTAGCTACCAGTAGGCTGCTTCCTCACCAGCGGGAACGTCAGCTACCATCGCAGCGGGTGCCTTAAATCGGCGCCGCACAGTCGTCGCTGTCGATGCGAACGATGTCGGTGCAGCAATCCGTCCATCACGATGAGAATGACAAGTTATCGTGTCATTCGCAGTCCTAGTGTTGGTGACGCGCGTGTGTAATGAACGAGAACCTGCTTCGTTGCTTGCCCTTGTGCGACAACTTGTTGACAAGCTGGCAAAATCTCATCAATCGATCAATTAATTGATCCCAGACTGCCGCCAACAAAGCAAGGGTCCCCTCCTAGGCTCCTGCTGAAGAAGCATGTCTCAGCCTGACAAGCGGCAGACGAGGCTTTCGGTGCCCGAGACGTACGTATATGTACGCACAGACGCTGCTGCGCCATAATAACAACACTGGCTTGAGCCTCTGGAATAGTGCCCAGGATGATGCCCTCTCAGGCACAGACAAACAAGAGGAGCCAAAGACAGGCCAAGACAGCAAGTGAATGGCCCGGCCCCACTATCACAAGCTTTTGACAGTCCGAAACAGCCGGCGTATAAGCGCCTGGAACTGGCTCAGTGCACAAAAAAAGGGAGGGTGTTCGCAAGGCCGGTGCTGGGCGGGCCTGTTCTAGTCGCTCGGTCTGGCCAAGCCCCCTGTTGCCGTGCTTTCGTAAGCTCCAGTCGGGACCCGAGGAGAACAGTCATATTGGGACAACGCATCGCCCAGCGCTTGACAGCCTGGGCACCTGTCTTGACTGAAAAATCTGCTCAAATCAGGAGAAGAATCAACAAAGAATGAAATGATGATTACTAGGATTACATTTGCTTCCAAGACGGCTCGCAAAGCCTCGCATCGCTTCCGCAGGGCGCATTGCATAGGGTCTCAACAGATTCCCCGTTTGTTGCATACTCAAGCGTCTCATCACCCGATCCCTGGCATCCAGAGGACACACGCCCCTCCCCTCCCTCGTCCGCACCCCCTCAGCCCACAGCCATCGGTTGATCATCGATGCCAGGAGTCCGCGGTCAAGCTTGCTTATATGTAAGTGTCCAGGTGCCGGACCCTGTGAGCAAATGATCCCCCTTCATCCTCCCATTGTCATACGAAAGGCTTACCCTTCCATGAAACTTCCTCCCCCAACAACTGGAAGCCAAACCCCTAATCTCACGATTCAGTTACCACTGGAGCTAGCAACCCTGAACAATACTCCCGAAACAACCAAATCCAAGCAGACTGCCGCGACCTCGTCCATCTACCAATAGACCTCGTTCGGTTCATTATTGAGATATAAAATTTCCATGCTCGCCGCATCTTCAGCAACATCCGCCATTATGCCTGAGCGCCCAGCCAGCCGTCACTTCGAGTCCTCGTCCTCCTGCTCCTCGTCAGACTCCGACCTCTCCAGCACGTCGGCATCGGCACCACGACTCAGCATGGACGCTATCGCCGTTCAACCATCACAGGTGGCTTCGGTCGAGATCCTCCGCTGCATGCGCTGCGCGCGCGCCGTGGAGACCACTTCGACAGACGACGCGGCCACCATGGGCATGGTTCGCATCTCGCACAACCTCTACTACTGCGAACGCTGCGCCAAGATGGTCGGCTATAAATGAGGGAGGCAACAGACAGGAGGCCAGCGCGCCTGGAGAATGGTCCAGCGAGGCTGGACCGACAACTACTATGAAACAACGTATGAGGACCGAGAACGATACCCCCGGATCGTCAGCATTTGGTCCTCTGAATGCACTTTTGAAAGGCGCCGCACCACATCTGCGGAAGCCTATGACGCGCCCAAGGCAAGAGTTGCTCTGGCTGCCTACGTGCAGCCATTAACCTCACCGAATGTCAGGGACGAGAGAATTCTGCGATCGGCGCTGGAGCCGTCAGACCAGCTGAGATCAGCTCAGATCAGCACTCCGCCTCGCAGCGCAAACACCCACAGGACTGGATCCATTCACGACATGATACCCCCATTTGTCCTTTATTTTCTATTTTTTTTCTATCATCAATTTGCTACACCCATACCCTCAATCAATCGGTCTTGTTTCGCCGCCCCGCATACGACACGGATGCAGAGCCCGGATGCTCTCCAGCCTCACGCCAACATGAAACGCGCCGCCGCGCAGGGCCAAGTGTGGCAGTGCTGATGCCAGCCAGCCGCAACCACCTTTTCCGGAGCGACATCAGATGCGCATCAATCGTGTGGCATCACTTTTGACGTACTCAGGTACGACGCACCTATTCTCACCTGCCTGGGTTTCGATGCATCAATGTTGCGCCTTGTGGACGCGAGGTGGCCCAACGTCATCGTGCAGTACCCTTGTCTGCGGCACGGCCATCCGAGGAGGATCGACCCACTCGCTTCTCTATTTCGGGAGATGAATGAAGACAGACACGAGTTTTCCAAAATTCAAAACTTGGCACCGATGCAGGAACGCTTGCATTTGACAGGCGGGGCTTTTGGGAAGATGGAGAAGAAAACGGAACGCTGGATGCGATCTGGATTGATTGATTGATTGATTGAGGCAGGGCAGGCAGGCAGGAAACGTTACAGCGCATGACAGCATGGCAGTATTATGATGACTTTATTTCTCGTATATATACATCGAGCATATTCATGGCTATTATCTATTTTGACTACTGGCAAGTGAGAGTGACCTGTGATGGACTTGTGTCAACCTGCAGAGCTTCTGCGGCATTCGCTTCCTGAAACACAGCGTCTCGTACTCAATTCAGCTGCAATTCTACTCGAGTCTCATGCTGATAACTTTCTCCCTCACAGCGTCTTAATAAGCCTCCGTGGAGCGTATATGTCCGATCCCAGTTGCTGCATATTTTATATGAATTGATCAATCACGTTCGCAGTGATCGGCGGGAGTGGAACTCGCTCGGTTTGAAACATCCATCCACCCTCACATGGAGCGTTCCACCGCGATGTTTCCTGTTTCTCAGCAAGCCGCAATGCTAAGTAATGAAGCCCTGTCTGCTGTCCTCGACTGACTCCACGATAGACTAGAGCGCGATCATCACGCGCAAAAGACCACGGGAAATGATCAAACCGAGATCCAAGCCACGTCCGTACACTTTCGTCGGCAAAACGTAAGGTTGTCATCCTCGTCATGCACAAAATCAAGAAATCGTATGCCGGCATCCTAAACCCCCCACCACAACCAAACCTATCAACGTTCGCCATCTGTACGTATGATACTGTACGTGCGTACAAAGCAATACCAGGCTAGCCTCGTAGCTACCCCAGCATTACCGTTGACGGTGGCTGGAATGCATAGCTTGCTATGGCCCGTGGGGGACGTACACACACCGGACCTGCGTGCTTCTGGGACCCTTGATAAGACTGCAGACGACCTTGCGGCCTGTTGATGTCATTGATGCAGCAACAAGGTCGTCACCACCAATGGCTGCTTTTGGTACAGGAACCGTCATCCTCGCGACAGAGGCTGATACGCAATACCCTTTTTAATGTTGATCACTACGCCTGATTACGCCGTGAGCCACGAGTTATCTCGATCTATCCGTGACGATCATCGCGGGGTTTCAAGTTTCCATCGTCGATGGAGTAGCGATCCTCGAATAGCATCGCACCCCGATGATAGTCGCCCTCGACAACGCGTCCTCCCTGCGCACAATTAGTGGGCGCCATCGCTGGGTGTGCGTAGGGGGCTCGCAGTTGTTCGCCTCTCCGCAATGATATCATTGTGCATGTCATCACGTCTGCTCACCACTGCAGCAGTGCCATACCCTGACTGAGGCTATTCATAGAATATTCATTGCATTGCATTTACATGTACTGGAGACGGGGAGTGTCGACGCCAAAACGCCAAAACGCCTTGATATGTGCATATCTCCATTAGCCCTCCATCTCGACATCGGTCGTTTCTTTTGCCAGGTTCTTCAATAAATAGCTTCGCTTGAAATACTCATTGGGGTGGACAATCGTCTCGAGTTGGTTCGCCGTCATGACGCCCTGGTCTTTGGCCTTGCGGATCTCCGCCTTGTGCACGTGCTCAAAGACACTGTTCAGCTCGTTAGCACACATTTAGTTAAGAAAAATGAGAAGTGGAATACGGACCGGTTACACGCCATGTGGAACTTTTGACCATCCTTGTCCTCCTTGATGCCCTGCATCACACTTCGATCGTTCACGCCCATGCCCTGCACTAGCGTCGCCAGATTCTCCATGTTGAAATGCCTATATGGACAGCCATGTGCCTCGCCTGGGCCAGGCGGGTGCTCTGTGAGGATCTTTTGGCAGCTGAATGGCGAGTAGCCACCGCCGCGCCGATTCGAATCACCACCGACCTCGCCATACGCGTGGCGTACGTTGTAGCGATACTCCTTGTTGAATTCGTCGTCCGTCTTGTGCCGGAGTCCTTGTCGCCAAAAGACAAGACACTCTTCGAGGTTAAGGCCGATACCCTTGAGAAAGAGTGTGTACTGGAGGCGACCATAGTGCTTGAGATGTCCATCTCGCCGTAGTGAGCGGTGGAGATGCGACATGCAGGCTGGAAAGTGCTGTGACAGGTTGTCAATGTTGGCTGCCGTGATGTTAGCCCCCTCGGGAGCGGTCGAGCCCGCCACGTAGGAGGCATCTGGCGTGATGAAGTTCTTGGATAAATGTGTGAGGATGGGTTTGAGGCGATCGTCTTCGTCCAGCCGAGGCAAGGCGCGCGCGGTGAGTTCGAGCTGCTTCTCAAGTCTTGTCGTGAACTCGGAGACGACCATGGACTGTTGCTCGCGACCCGGTACAAACGCCTTGCCTCGCTTGAGGAAGACACGCCGCTGCTCGACAAGGTCCGGCACGCGCTCCCAATCCACCTTGAACCAACTTTCGTCCTCGATGGTCTTCCGCATGGGGAGCATGGCAGCGAGCTCTTCGGCGTATTGCACCTTCTCCTCCTCGCTCACTGCCTCCCACCAGTCCAGGTTCAGTCCACTGACAAAGGCTGCTCGCTCGCTCACGTCGTCGGTGTGAAACCGCATGCGGAACAGCATTGATTCGACGCGTGTGAATCGTCGGCGAAGATCCTCCGTTGAGGCAAAGGCAAGGCGTAGAATGAAATGGCTGTAGTGATCCTTCTGCCTTTGCAAGGCCAATTTCCCGGATGCAGAGCTGTTCGAGTCCAAGGGTAGGTACTTGTCCAGGATGGGCTTCATGTGCGTTGCAGTCTCTGCAGGTGACTTGTTGCGAAAGGAGCACGCTTCCAGCTCGCCGAGCACGCGCAGGCGATCAATGGCCCATTGCTCGAATTGCTCCAAGGTGATGTCGGCGGTGGGCGCATCGATGTAGAAGTTGAGACGGTGGGGATACTCGGCATGCTTGTATTGGGGCGTCGCGAATTGCTTCTTGCGGTGATCGACGACATTGCGTCTTTTGGGCTCAACGCGGTCGTGTTGGCGCAACATTTTGGCTCGTGGTTGTGATTGATGGGTGATGGCGATCAAAAAGAGTGAAGCGCGTAAAGGGATGATGGACAGGACCGCGTCGAAGCGCGTCGCGGGGACGTCCAGGGGTCCAAAAAGAGATGGTCCGTGCGTGGCTTCACATGGTGGCGTTGCCTCATCATTGATTCAATGGCGTCGAAAACTTCAGCCAGTTTCTAGAACTAAACCATTCATCACAAATGATGAAACGCAACCTGATACCCTCGAGGCTCAGAACCAGGCGACGCCAAGGGAGGCTCCTGCTCGGAAAGAGGTCCAGCCAGCGCCAAAACTGAGTAATCAACCCCCAATAACATCATTGACTCCTCCCCTTCCACAGTGACTGCGGCTTCACTTGAACAACATCCTTCATCACAATTAATCCCTCTACTCCGACTCGCCCAGTTTCTCTGAGCCCCAGAAATTTGCACGTACTGTTCTGTGCTTCAATCAACGACGAAAGATGCGCTTCTTGTCTCGATCTTCCCGACGACTGTGCCAGTCTACCAATATTACGCGCTTGCCTTTAGGAAGGCTCACCACCCAGCAAGAAAGCGTACAGAACGCCACCTGAAGTAACGGAAGCGCGATTAGACATAACCCCCTTGGAAGCAGATCCATGACCATCATGGCGCCCGGAAGGCCCACCAGATCAGACAAGAACCGCACAAGATACGACAATATCCGTTGCCGCCACTGGACGTCCTTCAAGACCCCAGATGCACTCTTGATGGTTCCCTCCGGACCGCAGCCGCAATCAGTGTTGCTTAACTTGCCACCAGACATCCTATCTCAAATTTTCATGGCCGCCGACCCTGTCACCCGGATCGCCATGGCATTCAGCTGCCGGTGTCTACTTGCTATAGGCAACTTGCGGCCGCGTCTTCTTGTGGTGCCGGATTTGCATTACCATCGAGAGGCTTGGGCTGTCGGTAGTACACAGAACGTAGGTACGCTTTGCGGCTGTGGCAACGCGAATGCCCTGCTATGGCACGTTAGGCCTTTTAGCCGTCACATCAACCGCGAAGCACCAGATAGTCGACAATGTGTTGATTGCTATCGGTGGTTTCATAGTGGGAGGTTCCGCAAGGCGCATTGGCAGCGAAATGGCCAGGCGACTATGCGACGCGAGGACTTTCAGGCATGGTTGAAAGATGCGGAAGATCCAGAGGTTACACGTGGGGACGACGGGCTGCTTTCGTGGCCAGAGTTCTGGGACGAGTACAGAAACGCGGCTCGCCTCTTCCACCAAGGCTACAAGAGGCAATGCCCTCAATGTGCGGTGCGAGTACAGGCGCAAATCTTTGGCTTGGCCCTATCGGATGTGTATTGACGTAACTGTTTGATGGTCGGGGTCATCAATTTTGTGGCCACACCAGCGACTGATTTCAATGTTCAATAGACGATCAGAGCGACGCTCTCAGCATGGTTATCTGATCCCAGCGGTCTATTTTAAGGAACAAACAATGAGAGCCATTTGGCCCTTCGCCCGCACATGTGCTTTAGTCTTAAGTGCATGTCCATCGCATCTGTCAAGGACATTCGCATCTTGGGACGTCTTTGCTCACCAGGCCCCCAATCTTTGGTGACGCGAAGCTTGATCTGCGCTTACACTTACAACCTGTCCAGTCCCGTTTGCCGCACACATGCGTCGTACCTCGACTCGATTGGCCGAAGGAACATGGACGCATTGGCGGGGTCCCTGCTCAGACGTGAGGATGATGCGCCGTGTCATCTTTGCTGTCAATGAATGCGAGACGCACCATTCTTCGCCGTGCAGTTTGTGACAACTTCAGCAAGTTGCTTGTCAAAATAGAGCATTGTCCTAGACAGGCTTCGTCCGTCGGGTTACCGGATTGGGCAATGCCGGGCTGGGTTCCCACAGCACAGTGAGCGTGCGCCAAGGGCGGGCTCGCGATCAAACAAGACGAAGACGGACGGAAGTATCGCGTAAAGTTTTCACCAAAATCTGCGCGGCATTCCAGTGCGATTGTCAATTACAGGACGGAACACCTTGGCTAGGTAATTATCGGCGTCTTCCTATGAGAGACCAGGATCTTGCTGCAACGTGATATTCGCCGGCCCCACTGTCATGTCTGCAAGTTCTTGACGGCGTGAATTTGACTCTAGTCCCCATATCACAGAGTCCTGATTAGGCCCCTCCGCGAGCCTTCACAAAAAAAAAAACACACTCTGAGATTGGACTTTTGGATTCGAATAGCAATGCATCTAGCCATCAACCAACGTACGCACTGCTAATTATAGCGGCACAGACAATCAAACGCCTGCGACAGCCCGGTTGCAGATGGTCTCGAAGGCCTTGGTAATCACAGTCTCGACTGCCACATTCCCAGCGCTTTCACAGCGTTGGCTATAGGCTGCAGGGCGCCCGCAGCCCCAGTTTTTGTCAACCGCGACATCTCCGATTCTGAACAATCCATCCATCTGGATTGTTTGAGCTCTCATTCTCTCTTCTCTTGCCCTCTGATGATCTGAGTGTCGACTCAGCCCCATTCGCGGCCTTGGCTGCGCCGTACGCCTTTGCCTTCATGCCTCTGCCGTAGAGGGAAATACTTTGCCTGCCAACAACGACCTGCCCCCTACCTTAGCTACGGGCCGTCGCCTGGAGACGCTCGATCCTCCTGACTCACGCAAGCTAAAGCGTCATCCATCTGACGTCCTCGCAGCCGCCTCCGCCACCGCTGCTGCCACCACGGCAGCAATAGTAGGCATTGTCACAGAGCCCGCATCAACTCTGCCGCTATTTCTCAACCTAGCATGGCGGCTCGCCAGCCTAGGCCACAGGCCGACCAGCTTCCCCAGCCGATACAGTTCCAATCCACGACGATTGCGCCGTCGCCCCCACCGTCCTCGAACTCGACGCCAGACAACATGAGCTCGGAACATCACTCAGCACCGTTGCGCATACAAACAGACGTGGCCTCCGCATCACCACAGGCGCCATCTCACCGGCACGGCTCGCTCGGTCGACCATCGATCAACCGCATACCATCGAATAGCAGTCTCCAAGTCTGTCGCACACCTAGTCTCAAAGGCTCGCTTGGTCAGATCCTCAACGGCACCGCCAGCGGAGCCAGCAGCGTGGCTACGAGCCCCATCATCGCGGCCATGGGCGACATGACACCCTTGCCAAGCCCACTCATGTCAGCAGACTCGCCAGGACCATGGAAGAAGCTCATCGCAGGGACACCACCCAGGTCGAGAGGACGACTCGGAAGCGTAGGGGAGGGCTCCGTATTGGGGACCAGCCCTACGAGATCTCTGGACCCTACGTCGGCCGCACCGAGGCGGAAGACTTACACAGCGCTTGACAGCGGCGCCGACGGCCCGCCGCCAACCATTGTCTCCCATGAGACCCAGCATACTCGTAATCGTAGTGCGAGCGAATATGTGCCGGATCCGCTAGCCATCCCAAAGCGACACATCACAGTCTCCGGCTCGCATGCCCGGAAATCGGAAACCAAACCTCAAGAACCGACCATCCGTCGAGAGGCCCACCTGGCCGAGCAGCGGGGCCTTACACCTGCCGTTACGAAACCACCGACACCTCCACCAAGCGAATCCTCAAACTACTCAACCTCCTCGGCGGAGAAAAAAGATACCAGTGCTGAACTATTTGAAGCCAGAGGCCGCCACGATCAGAAGCGCCGTCGTTGGCGAGCACTGCGGCCCCTTGGACAGGGCACTTTTAGCAAGGTCGTCCTGGCGACAAGCCAAATCGCAGCGACGGAGGACGAATCGACCGAGAACCCACCCTCGAGAAAGACATTGGTAGCCGTCAAGATATGCGAGCACGGCCCCCGAGGCGGCGCCAGCGAAGACCGCATCGAGATGAGCTTGAAGCGCGAGCTTGAGATTCTGCAGGACATTCATCATCCCAGCCTTGTAGACCTCAAGGCGTTCAGCATCGAGCCCACGAGAGCGATATTGGTACTGACGTACTCGCCGGGAGGTGACCTGTTTGACGTAGCGACTCAAGCCAGGCGCGTCCTCACACCCGTACTGGTGAGGAGGATTTTCGCCGAGCTCGTGGGCGCCGTGCGCTACCTGCACGACAAGAAGATTGTTCATCGAGACATCAAGCTAGAGAGTGTGTTGCATTGGTGGGGGGGGGGGGGGGGGGGGGGGGGGGGGGGGGGGGGGGGGGGGGGGGGGGGGGGGGGGGGGGGGGGGGGGGG